ATGTATTCCATATTTTGTTGCTGTTTTCCAGTATTAAACATGTCAACATTTTACACTGGAGTCATAAAAGTTAGTGAGATAGTTCTGATGAATAGCAATAAGCCAGAGTAAAGAATAATGCATAACATGAATTCCTTAGGAAATCAATTAATATTTTTATAAGCAGTAGTAAAAATATGATCAGGGTTAGCAGAGAGTGAGGTCAGGCTATTTGATCCCCAAATATATTCTTTGTTGAGTTCTATCTATCGATGTAAAAATATTCTGTTCTGTGTCAAAACCGAAATCTCAGTGCCCCCAAGACTAAGACATTTTATATATCAGGATGTACAAAATTCTAGTTTGGCCATGTAGCCTTTGACAGGGGACATAAACTGTAATTCCTGCAGTACTTTCAGGTTCCTAATTGACTTTTTATGGATCCCTGAACTTAGTTCTGAATTATGTATTATGTGTGCAAGTAAAACACTCTATATTGTGAATTTCTTGGTAAGGTTGTTGTAAGCAATTCTAATACTGGGGTAAATGATGATTAATATTTGAAAATAAAAATGCTAGTGTTTTCAGATACTTCAAACCCCATTTCCATCCATCCATCCATCCATCCATCCATCCATCCATCCATCCCCAGTGAACATTGAACTCCAAATACATGGAGTTACTGAGGACAATAATGTCAAAATTAAGGATGGGAATATAAAGGCATGAAACAAGTGTAACACTTCAACTTGAATCCTGGTATGTGGGACTTAAGCTCAAATAATTCTTTATAATGGTAATAAATTTGCTGGAACCATCCACATCTATCAGGCCTTTCTGAGATGGACTGACATTATCATTTAAATAGAAATCCTTGTCTTCATGTATGAGCTAATGTGCACTGCTCTCCAGGTAACAGTTAAGCCTAGTGATACAGCAGAGCACAGGATCCGGTAATCTGATTTTCCAATGGACAGTACTATATGTTTGAGAAAGAGAGTCATAAATACAGTCAAAGCACTTATTTTAAGAAGCCAAAGACAATCAAAATACTGAAATCTGTTTCTTCAGATGGAAACCACATACAACAGGAATCATGGGTGTATGAAGGACCATCTAGGCATGTAGCGGTGAGCTGACTGACTGGAAGACAACACACGCAGCTGTGTCTCAGCTCTGAGAGTGGGCATCCACGGGCACATCACAGTGCACCTCTAAGGCCTAGCTTTATAACATCAAGCATTTCTTGGATACCCAGATAATAAGAGTTGCACTTTTTAAATCTGTTGGTAGTTGAGAAAAAATTAAGCCCAAGTAGACTCACAGATATTTTACATTAAACTTGTAAACTACAACCTGAGAACCACCGAGGTTAGTGAGATCTAGAATGTCTTCACATCTGAGACTCTATGATTCTTCCATAGCTTTGTTATCAATGACTTTCCTTGAATATTGTGTAGGATGAGGTGCTTTCTACTTCCTGAGGCAGCCCATTTTGCTGTTGGTTGTCCACGGCATAAGGGCAAATGCTAAGCAGAGATTCATTGTTCTCTAACTTCTACTTATTGGGCCCTGTTCTCTATGAATAACATGAACTAACCATGATTTCTACCACACAACCGCTTTCCATTGCCACCCTTAAATCCAGAAAAGATTGGCAGCTTACAAGAATGAACAAATCATAGCAGAACTGTGTACATCAGAAAAAGGGGAAGAGAAAGAAGGAAAAAAGTGAAGCTAGAAAATAAGTTTCAAAATCTGTTGTAATAATGGTCTATTTATATGTGATAGCTAGCACACAATTATGGCTCTAGGTTACTGACCAGTCACCTTTCAGAGGGACCCCTTATAAGTTGCACAATTTAAAATGTTCTCAAGGACAATATTCCTCAGGACAAGCCTAAGTGCTCCCATTGCAAAGGTCAGCCTGGAAGAGCCACCATGTTATCTCATAGAAAAGTCCATTGGGATGTTCTGAACTGCACGTATCAAATTTCCTGTATAATGACCACAATGTAAATGAATGACATTTTGTCAAAGTACTATGTAGGAGAAGCAATTCTTTGAAGGGTTAAAATACTGATGCGTAGATACCTAATTCCCTGCTGTTGATGGAGCTTGATTCTAGAATATGTGAAGGAGAGGATCAAATGATTATCCTGAACAGAAGGATTTTTATTTTGATAAGCATTGATTAAACTTTTTATTAAATAGTAAACAAATATACATTGTATGCCAGGTACCGTTCTAAACATTTTACATTTATAATCTCATTTCATTATCATAATGGTCTTATATGGGGTTGCTATAATACACCCTATTTTAGAGATGAGGAGACTGAGGCACAGAAAGATTAAGGCCACTAGTAGTTGATGGAGCCAGGATTTGAACTTAAGGCATCCAACCCAATCTCCTTTTTAACCACTACAGAATCCCAAAAACCATGTTAGTTTGGTTAACAGTCTTTTGTGAAAGTTGAGGATTTGAAGGAAAAGGGCAATGGTGAGGTCAATTTATCTCTTTTGAGAAGCCAAAACAATGGGGACTGATATAAGCCTCAACAAGAGTATGGGGCCTGGGGCAAAAAGGGAGGGGGAGAGAGGAAAAAGCATCAAGTTAAGTGCATACTTTAGAGAATCATTTCTCTGTTCTTTCTCCAAGTTCTCCAAATTGTAAACTGTGGTGGTTCAGAATAGGTTCATGAATTCTTTAAGATGGAGCCTAACTACCTTCTCTTAGAGGGTGGGCTGGATCATGCCTGTCAGTTCTAATGAATGAAGTGAAGTGGAAGGGATGGTGTACATCTTTGGAGATCAGGTTATGCAGGCCTTGTGGCCCTCTCTTTGCTCTCTCTTAGATCATGTGCTCTATGTAAGTTAGCTACCATCCTTGGGACAAATACCCCAAGAAGAGGGCCATGTGGTTTGGAACTGTGGCCTTCGGCCAAAAGCCAGTGAGGAACTGAGCTTTTTTTTTTTTTTTTTTTTTTGGCCTAAAATCATGTGAATGAGCCATTTTGGAAGTGGATCTTCCAGCCCCAGTCAAGCCTTCAGATAACTGAAGTGACCCAGCATGATGGTGTCGTCATGAGACACCCTGAGCCACAGCCAGGGCCACTCAGCTAAGTTACTTATGGACTCCTGATGCCTATTCTGTGGGATAATAAATGTTTATTAATTAAATGGTTAACATTTGGGGTGATTTGTTATGCAGTAATAGAGAAGTAACACAGAAACTGACAAGCACACCGTCGAAAACAACAAAAACGAACAAATGAATATAAAATAAAACTCATCACTTAGAATTTCAAAAGGACAAAGAAACATCCTGAAAACAGCTCTCCTCATTTAGGTAAGGTTTGCCCCCAAAGTCTTTAACCCAAAGGTATGAAAGCCATTCAATTCATTCCTAAAGTAATTTTCCAGGATTTGGAGCTTAAATGTGTACATAACTTACTTACAATGTCACATTGAATGAAAAAAGGAAGACACAGCTGTTCAAAACTTAAAATTATATAGAACCCTCCAAGTTCTTTAAAGCAAGGTGAACAACGGAAAGCAGAAGATGGGCCAAAGAAACTCTTTTTCTCATAAAGAAAGTTAAGACCTTAAAATCCAGCTTTAGAGAATGGAACAACAGTGGGCAATTAGCAGGCAGAAGCATACAATTTAGTCATTAGTTAAAAACTATTGTAACTCATTTTAAAAGAAAACATTCCCCAGCATTCTGATCTCCCAGAATTTGGCAGCTGGCTTAGGCTGCACACAATCAGTGCAGATTATACAATACAACTTTAGGAAGTCTAAACAAGCTTTAGTAAACCTAAAGCTAGCAAACATGACTTGTGTTTCCATTCTAACGTAAGTCCTGAGTATTAATCCAGAGGCATTTTTTTCTGAGCAGGCATCACGGTATCTCATGGCTTTTCAACATCCACTTCCTTTACTTATGGCTCAGCCCAGGACTTTGCAGCCCCACAGATAGCTCCACTGAGGACAACAGACGCGAACTTATGCAAAGGTGACTTACAGCTCTCTGCCAAAAATTAGGCCCCGGCAATAAGCCTTTGCCAACAACACTCCTTCTACAAAGCTCCTCATGAAGTTGCAATTTTAAAAGAAATGTTTCCCCATCAAAATTCAATAGTGTTTTATAGGCACATACACTTTCTTCCTTTTCTGGCCTGTGTGAAATCTAATATCAGGATTATTAGCCATTTGTCATTTCAACCTATAATTTAGCAAGCTTTTTTGTGTTTGAGTTATGCTTTCCTCACACCTTCCCTGTCAGCTTGCAGCCATAGATTCATTCAAGAAGCTGTCTGGGTCATATTGGTTGACCTCTTAGAACAAAGAGTTTCCATGTTTCTTATTCTGCTTCCCTAAGAGGCACCATTAGTTCTGCTCATCTCTATTTAAAATGATTTTTATGACACAATAACATTTCAAGTTTTCCATATTAATCTTCATTTTATTTCTTGAAACACTTAGGCAAACAATTCCGTTAAGACATCACTGATGGGAAATTCTCTTTCTCCTTTACTCTGTCTACTTAAAGCCAACTCTGAAAAATAATAAATTTTTTCTCTGAATCAGCTGAGCACTGGAAAACAAAAAAGTCTGGTCTAGTAATTCACGACATCTTAGGGAAAACACTGTGACAAACAATTAAAGCAGAAACTCTTAATATGACCTTTTCCTCCCCATCGGTGAATATATATTCATATCTGGGATCCTACATCAGAATTTACAAGTCTCTTTTTTTTTCTTTTTTAAAGATTTTATTTTTAAGTAATCTCTACACCCAATGTGGGGCTCGAATTCACAGCCCCGAGATCAAGAGTCGCATACTCTTCTGACGGAGCCAGCCAGGTACCCCTAAAGGTCTATTTCGTTATACGTCAGTTCAAAGATGTCTGAGTGCAAAGGGAAAATGAAAATAAAACAAATTTATAATCATTGCCAATTTTCTAAAAACAGACACACACACAATGAACACCCAGAGGTGTAAGTGGTACTCACCCCACAGCCCAGACCGCTGCCCCCTTCACAAGTGACCTTCCTCACGCCTGGCTCGGGAAGCAGCCCCGCTCCACAGCCAGGGCTGGGGCACAGCACACCCCCCATCTGTAGCACACACTCTTCAGCGCCATATTGCTGGTACCGGTTATACTGTAAAAAAACCAAAACCAAAAACAAAACCCAACATGAGTTTTTTAAAGTGATAATACTAAGATGTGCTGTTTTAGCCAAAATGTTAATAGTTCGTGGTGTGTGGATGTTCTTGTTCATCTGTTTCGGTAAAAAAAACAAAGGGGACGGGGTGGGGTGGATGAGGTATGATCCAACATAAAGAAAGTCTTCCCAATTGCAATTGGCAAAACAGATAACTTCATATTTCTAGGAAATTGGTCCTAAATTTCCCCCCAAAGTTTGTTCTTTTAATATTACTACCATCAGCTGCATTTAACAGTCTTATTTCATACGAATTTTAGGAAACACAGCTATATTTTAAGTTATGGCATCATTATCAAGCTCATCAAGTAGTAATTTTCATGCCTCTCTTCAGGAGTCTATGGGCTTTTAAAACCATTTTGAAGAGAGTCCTGATATTCCACCCTGTGCTAATTGTGGGCAGCCCACATGATACCTGAGCATATCTGAGCAATGCTGAGCATATTCAGCTCGAAGAAGAAGAGATTCATGTATTCCTCTCATCATTATTCTCTTTCTTAAAGCATGTTTCTTTTATCCCTGACTTCATCACGCCGTTGCGTGGCTCAACGCCCTCTGTGGTTTCCCCAGCCTGCAGAATAAAACTACACAGTGCAGTGTCCAGCATCTTCCTGTTGCAGCCCTGTTATTGTTCTCCTCGTGTTATTTGATCATATTTGCTTCTAAACTCAGATCAAGTCAAGCGAATTTGCTCAACTGTGAATTAATTTATGCAACATTCGGTGACAGTCTACTGTGTATGTGTCAGATCCGACTGTGGGCAATACAGCAGTGAACAAAACAGACACCTCTGCTCTCGTCCACCTGCCTATAACAATAATACTGAAAGGTTATATTTCAGTGGGAAGCAGCACATTTTGGAGACGATGGGGACTATAATTTTGAAGAGGTGATTAGGGGATAGGGGATGCCTTAATAAAGAAGGTACATGGAAGCAAACATCTAAGGGAGATTAGAAAAGCAAGCCACGTGGCTACCTGTGGGAGTGGGCTTTTGGGTCAAGGACAGAGCGGTACCAAGATGCAGAAGCCAGAATGCGCTTGGTGCTCTGAGGTACAACAGAGGCCAGTGTGGCTGAGTGACAGCAGACAGGGAAATGACATAAGATGCATCAGGGAGCTCTTGGGGATCTGGGCTGTGCAGGTCCCTGAAGGCCACTAGGAGAACTCTGGCTGCCATTCTGAGAGATATGGGAACCACAGGAGACTTTGGAGCTGTGGGGTGACATCATTTGACTAATCTTTTAAAAACAGCCATCTGGCTGAAATATTCAGAATTGACTCTCATGGGCAAGGATGGAAGGAGGAAGCAGAGGAGCAGGCAGGAGGTTTTCAGGGATCCACATGCAAGATGGCAGTGGCTTGAACCAGCAAGGTAGTGGTGGAGGTGGGAGATCAGCTGGATATATTTTGAAGGCAGAAATGGCAAAATTTTTAGGCAGATTGGATACATGGCATGAGGGGAAAAAAAAAGGAGTCAAGCATGAATGTAATGTTTTTGCCTGAGAAGACAGAAGAACACACACACACACACACACACACAAAGAGACAGAGAATGAATTACAGAGATGGAAAGACTTACAAGAAAGGGATGTGTCTGCATATGTGTGAGTGTGCATGAGCATGTGTGTGTGTAGGTTGGGAGTTGGGAAAAGGAGTCATTATTTCTAGTGCTCATCTTCAGTTTGATAAACTGCTACACGGCTAAGATGCTGAGTGGCTAATTGAATATATGAGTTTGGAGTTTAGGAGAAAGATGTGGGTGGTAGATACAAATTTTGAAATCATATGTGCATGGAAGGCTGGGAGGGAAAGGGTTAGCATCAGGCCTCCCATGCATTTTCTCATTTTTCTGGCTCCGGGAAAGAAAGAAAGATGACTTGGTCAGATCCTTTTGTAAACATGCTAATGGTACATCCATACAATGGTATTTACTAGAAAAGACTTCTTAACTATGGAATACATTAAGCAGGAAATGCTTCCATGATGAATGATTCCTCGAGTGATGGGGAATGATGAGACAGTTTATATAATTGAGAGATTTCATGTTAATGATCATTCCATGAACTTCTCTGAAACCTCATTTATTAAGTCTGGCCTAGAGTACACCCTAAGACGCTGAGAAACAACCCACACTTCTCTGTGCTTTGTGTGCACCTCATTATTACCCGCATCCTTGAAGTTATTAGTAAAGCTTGACACAAGGTTACATCTATGATTCCTGTGAGTCTGATTTGACAATCCAATTCTGTGTTATCTCAGTAGTCATGAGGCTGGCTGAGACTATCTATCCTTTGTAAGGAAGATGAGAAGGAGCCAGAAAAGGGGGCTGAGAAGAAGCAGCTTATGAGGCAGGTGGAAAATGAAAAGGATGTAGGTGTCCTGGAAGCCAAGGGAACAAAATTCTTCAAGGAGGGTGTCATGATAAATGTGAGCTCCGTCCTTGGGCAGGTGGAGGAGTGGGATCGCAAGGGTTAAGTAGAAGGTTTGGCTTGGGGAGGGAAGGCTGCCATCCTTAGCAAAGGAAGGGAGGCAAAGTATTTGGGCCCAGGTGCAGACAGACAAAGGAGGTGTTGGAAATTTGAGAAGAGAAGGAAGGTATCAATGATCAGGGGAGAGGGAATGGATGGAGGGAGCCAGCATTATTGCTAGGCAGCACTAACAACCCATTTGTAGGCAGAGATTATGAATTGAAAGGAAAACTAGTCAGCAGAATTTTGTTTTTCTCCAATACCTGGTTGCAAAGTACAGAGGAGGCAGGAAGCTGAATTTAAGCCCAGTGGGAGTTTGGTCAGACTTACGTGAGAGAGCAAGGCACTCCTCAGTCCCTCCCACCCCTATGTGCATCCCCTCATGCAACTGTGAATGAGTTCAATAAATATCTATCGAACCCCTCTGAGGTGCTCAGCTCAGTGCTGTACCACTGGACTGTCCAACCTTCATACTTCGGCCTATCCAAAATGGGTACAAAGTTTTAGTTTTGCAAGATGAATAAGTTCTGGAGATCTAGTGTGCGCAGTGGTAATACAGTGACTAATGCTATATTGTATACTTGAAATTTGCTCAGAGGGTAGGTATTTCAGAACTATAAGGCTTTTCTTAACATTTGCTATTTTACATCTGTATCTCCTTTCTTCTACACTGGTTCTTAACACAGAGGATGATGGAAGAGGAAACAATGTTCCACAATAGCTCATTTGCTTGATCTCTACATATACAAGGATATTAGAATAACAATACCAATATCTAATCTACGAATATGATTACTAAAAACCTCACATATATCTTTACATGCTATACCATTTCTTCTGCCAAATTTTTCTAATTATACTGTATCTGTATTGTTGAAACATATGGCCATTCCATACTATGCTTTTTCTTAATTTTCATGTTATCTTGGGTCTAAACACACACACACACACACACACACACATGTTCACCACCAGTCCTTACGTTGATGTCTTTCCAGTAACTTTGTTTGTGAGAAGGAAATTCTCCAGTAAATTCCTCAGAAGGAGTGCATGGGAAAGACATTCACTGAGGTCTTACGTATGGGTGACCGTTCCTTGGGGCCTTTATTCCTGAAGATGAATTGGACTGGATATAAAGTTCTTGGCTCACAGTTTTTCCTCCTTGAGCATCTTTACTGTCTTATTCCATGTGTTTCTGCTATACGGCATTATGGACAAGCTTGATACAATCTGATTTTTTCCTTTACACACTGAATTGATAATCTTTTTGCCCAGATGCCCAAAGGATTTTTTTTTTTCTTTAGAATCTGATAGTTTGTTAGACTATACCTTGGTGCTGGTCATTTTCTGATCATTTTTCACGATTCAAGGAAGCCGTATTGAATTTAATTTTCAGTGTTTGCTCTATTTTCTTGCTTCGATGTGTTTCTTACAGGATTTCTAGTATACATACATTGGATCTTTTTCACTCACCTTCTCCATCTGTCAACTTTTCTGGAATCTCATCTCACTTTACTTCCATGTTTTAGAAGTTTCTTCCTTTTCACTTCCTATTTCTCTTACGACAATATCTGTTATTTATGTGTATTTGTATAATTTCTTAATCATGTGGTTCCTTTTGAAATAGTTACTCTAGTTTCCACCTGACTGACATACTTTTCTTGTGTCTCAGGACGTCATTCTGCTCTTCATTCTCTGTAACTCTTCAAAACTTTGTATGGAATTTAACTTTGCTTCTTGCTGTTGCACAGTTTTACATGAAATCAGTTCTGCAACTTTAGAAACAAGTACAATCCAGCATAGCTCTTGGTGGTTCCTCTTCTCGTTGGTGGAACTCACTTTCTATGAGCTTCCAGCTTTGTTACCCATTTTAACTGGATTTTAATTGGATTTCCTCATCCCTCATCCCCTTTTCTATTCCAAGCACGTTTCTGCTCAGTGTGAGGCCTTGTCTTGAAAGAGATCTTTGGCTGCTTAAGTTTTGTGAGTCCAGGGGACCCAGAGTATCTGGTCCCTTCAGACCTTACTGTAGACCCTTTGCACTCCCTCCCATCCTTTTTTGTATTTGTATCTCCTGAATTTGCTAGAGTACCTTGTCCATAGCTGGTAAACAACAAATTGTTGTAGGATGAATTAATTAAATCTAACTCCAGTGAGCACCAATTAATTAAATACTTCTAACAAAATAATCAATGGCGATGGGAATTAATAACAGTGATGGTGGATGGATTTCTATTTTAAGTAAATGGCTCTCAAGCAATTGGCTATTTTCCGATTTAACGACAGATCACCTATCTATTTAATTTAGTTAAGCGATTTTACTACTATGACGATAGCTTTTATCCACGAACAAGTTAACCTATGGACAAAGTCCATTAACACTTTAGAAATTCTTGCTGACTGCATTCATAGTGGCCTCAGATACTGATGGAATTGGTTCACTTCATTAGCTAAGGAATTAAAATGA